CGACATTCCTTGAGAAACGAAAATGGCCGAGTAACAGCCAAATCAATATGCTAAATAGCCAAAGTTCTCGCAGTCCCTTGAATAGAGGAACGCAGTCGTACTATTTACTAGTGCCATCAAGTGATCTCCTTTATGATAGGGAATTCTTCCCCAACGGGGGTGGCTAAGACGAAAGGCATTGTGTAACTAAAGAGGGTGCAAAGGCAAAACACGTGTATTGCACTGCATTGCGTAATTGTCCACACTTACGTAAGAGACCAGGGAAACATGAAATATCGAGAAGTATTCTTTATAAACTGCGAATGACGTCCTATGTTAATTAATCCTGTTATTAATCCAAATCATTTTCATGAGCTAAACCCCATTTTTATATCAGTCTAATCGAAGTTCCCCTTCTTCGTGGGTGTGGAATTGATGCGAGATTATTCTTGAAAATCCCATAAACTAAGTTCACCTAAAACAATCCAGCACAGTCATTCCGGGAGGCGAAAAAATATGTGGTCTGACTTCAATCACCTGCATTATTGAAAAATAACAATATTAATCTAAGAATGCCGTAGTCAAATGCAAAAAAACTCGGGATTTTTCGTAAATGATCTTTGAGTAGGTAAATCAGTGCCTTGATTAATGGGTCCCAGACCAGGATAAATTGGAAAACAAATTTAGTCTGTCAGAATGCTTAGGCCAATTTCGAAGTTGATACGTCAAAGTCATTCGTACGTTTTGGCGCTGTTACCCGCTCCAAGCTCTAAACTTTCACAGACTATATTGAATGCTTAAGATGAGGCTTGATAACAGTCGATGAGATGGAAAACAAAGAGTTAGGGCTTAGACGAAGTTTTTCTTCACGTTCAAGAAATTCACGGATTTCTTATTATGCTCACACACGGTCATGTCGCTCACTGTGATTCTGGCGTGCTAAGGTATTTCTTCGAAAGAAATGTTTTTATGACCTCCATTGATCCTTTTGTATACATATTTTTGACTTTCGAGCGACAAAAATCCAGCTATTGATTCTCCATTAAAAGCTTGTAGAAATGATGTAGAAATTGTGTGGTGTAGAAATTTTTAGATCCTTGGTTTATGTTCAGAGGAAGCGACACGCTTCGAAAAGGGGATTCATCGAAAGCAGAGTCCCGTTCATCCTCGCTTTCGTATCAAATGAGATAAGCAGTTACATAACATTGTTTGGCAAAAAGCGGGTTGGAAAAATTGCTAACGATTACTGAAATGCCACCGATAGTTTGAAGCGCCAACTTGTTCGAATCCTTATATGGCCTTCTCTATATTACGAACCAGTGCCAAAGGTGCCCAACGGCAGAGGCTGTCATTGCATGAACATAAATAGTTTACCTAATATTCGAAATTTCCAGTATTTTCACGGCTTTTTCGCTGTGTAATTGTGTCACATGTATGCCTGAGATAATTGAGTGGTGAGCAAAAACATGGCCTCAAGCGGGAATCGAACACGCGTTTTATCCTCTCCAGGGAGACGCGCTCTGCTACTACACCACTGAGGTACATCTGTCCGACCCAGTCATTCTTCAGCATGCCTATGTTAGTTATCATCCACCATCCTTCAACAGGTTTGGCTGGGTATGCGAATTCGCCTTACAAACCCACTGCTATGGTAATGACTAATACTTGAAATTTCTAGTATTTTTCACTGCTTTTTCGCAGTGTTTTGGTGTTACATGTATGTCTAAGAGAACTGAGTGGTTCGATTCCGGCCTGAGGTCATGTTTTTGCTCACCACTCAGTTCTCTCAGGCATATACGTAACACAATAAAACTGCGAAAAAAGCAGCAAAAATGAAAGAAATTTCGAGTATCAGCCATTACCATAGCTGTCAGCTCAAGTGGGCTTATAAAGCGAAATCCCGTACTCGACCGAAGGTGTTAAAGGTTGGTGGCTGCTTGTTAATATAGAAATGTTGAAGAATGAGTGGTGGGGCAAACGTGGCTCGGTGGTGTAGTGGTAGAGCACTCGTCCTCGGATAGAATGAAACGCGGGTTCGATTCCTGCCGGAGGCCTGTGGTTTTGCTCATCACTCAATTCTCTTAGTTTACCTAATCTCTTGCGAAGCGTGTGGCAAAATACACTGGCAAAACGAGTAGCCACTCTATGCCCGCTTAGAACAACACTTAGCTGACAAGTGTAAATCTGAGCAAAACAGCCCGCCAGGCACACATAGGACCTAGGAGCATGACGGAGTAAATTTCAATATGGAAGTTACCATCCTTGCGCAAAGGCATAAAACTTCAGCTCGAAAGATTTTAACAGCTCTTTGGATGAATACCACCAATTCAGCTATGACCGTGAGGAGAAGCCTCGTAATTACTCGTGTTATGAGTCAATATGTAAGACGATTGCTTCGATGCCGAAAGTACATTACGAGGCCATATAATCTCTGTTCGGTGGTCTCCGCATGAAGGTGAATATGTCGGACGCTGATTTGGTGCTTGATGTGATTGAAATTTGCATCTGGTGTTTTTAAAATAAGTAATGGAGGTGCTTGGCTAACTGGATTGTGGAAAACTTGGTCTTTTTAGGTCCCAAGAGAGCAAACTTGCCGAAATGTCAGCTGTTTGACTGAAATGTGTTATACAACCTCGTGTTTGGATTAAGAAATGAAGAAGTTTGGGAAGTGATAGCAGATTTGCTGCGCAAAAAGTAAAGTAGGCATTATGGATTTTGATTCCTGTGCGCTACTTGAAGAGACGAAAAGTTTTGCTAAGAGCATAATGAGTGGACCGCTCTTAAGCTAGCCTGATGTCAATTCCCGACATCTAAATGGCAGACAATCAGGTCTATCTCTTTTTAGCATATAATTCGATCCGTCATCACAGTTTTTTTTTCTACTAGTGCGGATCTCCAGTACTTGTAGCACTCAATTCGTTTTTCGTCTTCTTCTCGAACGACGTAGATTACTGGTTGAGCGATTCTACTTGCAATCATTAAGATGGCCCAGCTGTAGCGCTCATTAGGGCGTTGGGGCATATTTGGTCTTCGCAATGGCGTGAACTGGCCCATCGCTATGATGAATGGATGGTGCTGTCCTTTGGAAAAGGCTGGTGCCATTTTGCCGACCCAGAGAGATGGAATGCTTATTGAAAATTGAGGGCCAAAATGAATCAACAACGTGTGCTCGCAGGTCACCTCTAACAAACTGAAAACAACACGCGAACCCATACATAGAAACTTTGGAAAAATGATGCAATCCTCTGACAAAGTTTGGAAATTGCTGATATCACAGTTCACGAAGCTCTACTTAGTTATTCATTATTTCAAACCAATTATTTGATCCAGATGAGGCTTGCTGATTTTACCTCCTCCCGGACTTTCCCTCGCAATCACCCGGAAACGGTCTAGCCTGGGTACTCTCGGAAATGAAGAAAAAAGATTATGGCCAACCAGCACTAGTTTTACGAAAATGATTGACCGTGAGTTGTTAAAGAGGGATTTTCTTCAGTCGCTTCAAGCACAGCTTGACGATCAACTTCTTTTGGATGACGTGAACGCTACCGATCTTCCCAACTTTCTTCACCTTTGTCAAACCTTTTGAACCACCTGTGCAATGTGCTTTTGCAAACAATGTCTTCGCCCCAAGCCAGATTGATGTGTTTTCTTGCCACCGCTGCATTTGAAACCCAACAGCCATTCACGCATCATCAACAACCTAATTTGCTCGCTTGTTAACTCCACCTTGAAGTAAGAGGTACACTAAAGACCACTCAACGTGGGAGAAGACGGGCTTCAAACGAGCCCAAAAGCACAAAAAATTGGCCGACACTCAAAAAAGTTACAAGCGTTTTCAAGAACTTTTTCTCAACCCTATTAGCTATATTGTTTCGGAACTCACTCATACAATCCAGCTCCCTTCCATTGGGACAAACTACATAGTCTTCTCAATAAGCAAGTCAATCGTAATGCTACAGCGGACTAGTTGATGACGCAGGAATGGAAATGGCAGTCAAATCAAGCAGTGCGACTAAACCGGACTAGTGCCTTTCTATCATCTTCCACACTTAGCAAAAGCACATCAAATACATGTGCCGCAGAGTCGAATGTGTGCACAGGAGAACAGAAGAAGAACTAATCGTTCAATCTGTATCTCATATCCATTTATGATGGCTGCAAAACATCAGCCACTCGGTTGAGTTCAAACGGGATATTTGGGCTCCAAAAATAATTCACACTCAAAAAGATCTCTTTCATTTTGTTATTTAAAAATATATACACATATATATACCTAGATACATATATATATATATTGTACATATATATACATGGATAAGTGCATATATGCATATATATGTAGATATATATAGATATGTACGTGCATATACATGTTTACGCACATATTTACGTATATATATATATACATATATATACATATATATGCATATAAATACATATATATGCATATGTAAATAATATTATATATATATATATATATATATATATCAAACGAAGTTAGTAGCATTCAAGGAAGACGGGATTTTCTATGTTTAGTGTTGATGAACTTCCACCTCCAACCAGCGCCGTTAACTAGTTCACAACCTCATTCACGATCTATTGTGAAACTCAGAATAGTCTACATCCTGTGATAACGGAAGGGCAAGGAGTTTCATGTTCCAACATAATATAGTCGCTAACACGAAAGTTATGCGGAGCTGAATACATTAGCGAAACAGGTGAATCATTTTACATAAGCATACACCTTGAGTTAGGTGGTTCCTAGATTGACAAAAGTGCACCTTCAGGTAGTCATAGAGCACAAAAATACATTGACAATCATTTTTAAATGACCGTCACTATCCTGGTGGAGGAATCAAAAATATTGGCGGGCAAAGCTCTTTAAAACATCTCAGATAAATGCGAAAATTTAAAATTGAATCGAAAAGAACGAATGCTTCAGTATTCCGCAAAATATAGCGTCTTTTCTTGGTTGGATCTTTTAACCTGACCTAAGCAGTGTATGCAGGCATTTCGATCCACTATGTTATTCAAGTTTTCAATTAATGAAAGTTCAGGATTTCAGCCAAGAGGAGTCGTCGAAATTAATCACCGAACCACTATTACAACGACTGTTACGACGAGAACTATTAGCAACCACGTGTTAGACAAGCAAGATAGGTTTTTGAGATTTGCATATATTGATTATTAATGTTGAGAATCATAGAAAGTCGGATTTTTAAGACCACCGGATGTTGCATTTTCTTTTTCTCGTCGTTTCTTTTGTAGAAACTGAGTAGTAGAGGAACTGCTACAGAAACCTACTTAAGAACTACTTTTGTTAGATTTCACGGATTTTTAGACTGATTTCTGCGCATCTTACTAGTCGCTGAGCTGAGTAATGCATGAAATGCGTGCAAAGTTGCGTTTGCTTGATTGTCCAGTAAGCAGAATAACTTTATTGTTCAACAAATTTGATAATCTCCATACATCATCAATAAGAGCACAGCCCAATAGCTAAATTACAATTGTTTGGACCAGTTGGGCAAGCACTGCACACTGCTCCTATAGGATAAATGCTTTGTCCAGGTACGTTCACCCTAAAACGGAACTGGGTTTGTTCTTAGATTCTATCAATTAAACAACGTTCGCTAAGCTTACGGTTCACGATACATGCAAGAAGTGAAATAAAATCCACTGCAAAGTACGGTTGCACATCCCACAAATCTGTTGGAGTTCCAGAGGACCTGCAAAAAATTTGTACGTCAAAGGTTACATTACGACAAAAGCAAAATCGACGCCAACCTTTGCAACCCGTGTTACCGTTCTGTGCGTACGTTGAAGTACTTGAGGAGTTAGAATCATGTTTGATGGAATGCCATTCGCACTAAGTTCCCCAGTGAACGTTGCAATTGCCTGTTCAGTGTTTCATGAGATTTGAAAATAAAGCACGTGAAAAATTGCTAGATAGAGTCTAGGAAAGTCTCTCAGCCAATCACTCCAGTTTACGAATATTATATTAATATGTTCTATGTCTGTTTGGAAGTAACACTTTTGTGACTGACATTCTGGATAGCTCCCAACAAGTCAGTTGCAGTCGTTCCGAGTACATGAATATTTTCACTGTAACCGGGGCGAGCAAAAGGTGAAGACAAGCGTCTATCGCATGATCTCGCATGATTAAGTGCTAGTTGCTCTGCGTGACAGTCATACTCCTAAAAGATATGAGGGACATCAGACATGATCAAAAATGATTCAGAACAAAAAGATTCGTAGCCCTACCATCAAATCCATTCGTGAGGCCGGTGGCGCGTTTTCGTTTCGATACTCGCCATTTCTGGCAAGTCCTCTTGCGACAAGAGATCTAAGTAAAAGCTTTGTCTTTTCTTCTCATAACATTCAAGTAGACCTAAGTTCGTTTGGACTATGAGCAGATCTTATCATAATCGACCAAACTTTGAGCTTTTTTGGAGAAAACGAAGTTCATCTAATACTTTGAAACCCACGTTTGCTTTATGATTCAAACCGAGTACAGTGTCCATATTTTACTCTTCAAACAAAAGTCAAAACTTTCTCCCTTATAATTTACCTGAAGTTATTGTGCATTCCCAGTGCGACTTCTCTAAATGTGGAACTGAATGTCCTGCTCGGGCAGTCAGTACTTCTTCTTCTGGTTGTCGTTGTTGTTGTAGACGTTGTTGTGGTAGTGGTTGTAGTTGTTGGTGTCGGTGTTGTACTTGTAAACATAGAAAGGGCGCACAATCCTCTTTCGCAGATACCAGGACCGGTGTCCAGAGCACATTGCATTATCACGACACGATTGTCCAGACATGTAGACCGGTTCATTTCTTGTGACGTTGCTGAAGAATGATTAAAAAGACTTTGCATGATCGATGTGAAAAAAGACTTTGCATGATCGATCTGATAAGTTCCTTTTGCTTATACTCACGGTTCTGAGAAGACACATGCAACGGATGTGTTTAAACCACAGCTCGTGGATGCACATCCAACACTCATTGTGTTCGCTCGAATCAACTATAAAATTATTGAGTAGTGCTGAATTACCACACTACATA